GGGGGGTGAGATAAGAATAAGACCAGATTTCGTAAGATGAAATAAAATGAGATTAGAGATTTTTGAAAAGCGTTATTGTTCGCTCTTTCAAAGAAATTGACGGTTAGCTCTAAGTGGGGATACATTACAAGACAGGATTACAACATAACGACAGAACAGCGCAACAACCTAACATAACAAAAAAACCCAGAACATAACATAACAACATAACATAACAACATAACAGAACAACATAACAGAACAACATAACAGAACAACGTAACATAACAACATAACATAACAACATAACAGAACAACCTAACATAACAACATAACATAACAACATAACATAACAACATAACATAACAACATAACATAACAACATACAAGAACAACATAACGACAGAATAGCACAACAACATAACATAACAATACAGCAAAATACAACACAACAACAAAACAATACAACATCACATCAATAAAATAACACAACAGAACACAACACTTTACTTTACTTTCACTTCTATCCGCCGCTTATACTCTTTTGTGTTTGGCGTGGAGAAAGAGACGTCTCTATACCACCAGCCGGAGAGCTTGGGTCTTGGGGATGCCATTAGTTGTTAATGTTTCCCTGACTCCATCTATCCAGGTCTTTCTCGGTCGCCCTCTAGCCTTGTTGCCTTTGAATTTTTTTAATGAAGGCTCGTTGTATGGATGGTGTGTTGGTAATCGCCTGAGATGTCCGAACCATTCGATTTTTGTACCTTTTGTACTCGTGTTTCAATTTTTCTGTTCAGTCGCCCATCCTCTGTGAATATACTTCCGAGGTATTTAAATTCTTGGACCTGTCTGAGACTGTTGTTGTTGATGTGTATCCTGAGAGGTCCTGACTTTCTGCTTACTTTTATTGTCTTTGTTTTCTTGATGTTGAGCTTCATGTCGTAGTTTTTACATTCTTCGTTCATCTTTGTGTGCCAGGCTTTGGTCCTCATGATCAGCGAAGAGTAATTCGTTTAGTAGGGCGTCTGGTTCTGTGTTGGCCTTTTTTGTAATTCTTTCTCTGTCTGTCTGTCTGTCTGTCTGTCTGTCTGTCTGTCTGTCTGTCTGTCTGTCTGTCTG